AAAAAAAAAAAAAATTTGAAAAAATGAAACAGGAAGCTGCTGATTCTCTGCCTCTGAGCCTCCTGCTTGCTCCCTCATATGTTATTTTTTACCATTAACTATTGTGCTCAGGCTTTACTTTTTGCAGTTTTGATGTTAAACACTCAGACTAGGACATGTGCTTGTTTTCTGCAGCCTCTGATATATTTTCGCCTATTTTTTTGTTTTCACTTACAGGCAGGGAGATTTTTATTGTGGAATTGAAAAGAAAAAAGGTTGGATACCAGCGCATTTATCGACATACACGGAAACATTAGCCAATTTAGATGCTTGTAAGAGTTCATAGTCAGTGGCATCCCTACATATCCTTTCATCAAAATGTCTGCATGTTCTCGTGCTGATGAAGTTGAGGACTTGAATCGACAAAGTATTTCTCCTGCTGGTGCCAACTTATCCAAAAGCAGTGAGCAACTGTTGCAACGTGAGGATGACGAGGAAAGGAATGAACAAGGGAATCATAATGTTGATCAGATTGCTGATGAGTCCGAGGACGAGGATGAGGAAGAGGATGTAGATTTCAATCCTTTCCTGAGAGAAACTCATTCTGTAGAAGCTTCTTCAAGCTTGAGTTCTGAAGTTGAAGTCTTGGATGTGGATGTTGCTGATAGTGGGGAAAACACTTCTGCAGCCTCCCTTAAAAATTCTGAGGCAAAGCATGCGAACCCTGTGCAGAACTATCTTATTGGGGATACTGAGTATGGCGAAGAGATTGTGATGCAAACTGTTGTGTCTTCTGGAGAAGTATTGGCAAAAAATTCAGACATAACTTTTACAGTTACTGAGAGAGAACTGGACTTTATTTCTCAATCTGATAATGGATTTCCATGTGATAAGAAGAATAAATCAAGCAGCATGGCAGATGTTAGCAATCCTGCCGATTTTGGGAAGCTCATTATGGATGTGGACACTGACGATGCCATCTGTATGCGAACTAGGGCTCGCTATTCTCTTGCCAGCTTTACACTTGATGAACTTGAGACTTTTCTTCAAGAAACAGATGATGAGGATGAACTTCAAAATGTTGATGATGAAAGAGAGTATAGGAAATTTCTTGCAGCTGTTTTACAAGGAGTAGATGATGCCCAGAATTTAAAAGGGATTGAAAATGTTGATGATGAAGATGAAGAAAATGATGCTGATTTTGACCTTGAACTTGAAGAAGCATTGGAAAGCGACCCTGATGAGATTGACGAGCGATCAAAGACTAGGCTAAATAGACGTCAAAAGGCTTCTCTTGATCATGGCAAGGTTTCAGGACAGTCGAATAGGCCATTACGGCCCTTGTTACCATTTTCATCAGTTGGATCTTTTCCTACTTATGATGGGAAACACCTGTTGCCCAACATTTCTCCACCTTGTGTGCCTCCTGTAAATAATGGTCTAGTGAATGGATTTACTCCGCATCAGATAGGACAGTTGCATTGTCTGATACATGAGCATGTGCAGCTTCTTATTCAGATTTTTTCTATTTGTGTTCTAGAGCCTGCAAAAGGCCATATTGCTACAGAGCTTCAAAAATTGATTTTAGAGATGCTTCACAAACGTGATGAAGTATTGTCATGGAGAAGGATACCATATCCCAGTTTTTGCTTCTTCTTTCCATATATTCATCCATCATTGCCAGGTGAGATTCCGAAGATTTTGCCACCACAGTGCAACAATGAAATTTCTGATACTTGTGATGTTCAACAAGACCAGCTTTCTGCTAGTAACACAGCTTTGCATTCTGATACGAATTCCCTGTCTAGTGAGAGACATAAACTTCTTCCCAGTGAGCAGGAAGGTTGTTTTCAAACTCAGGAATGCACGTCCTGGGTCCCTTATATTAGTGATCTGGTGCTGTCTGTTCTAGATGTCGCTCCACTCCGTTTAGTTGGAAACTATATAAACGATGTTTCTTCTGGTATGTCATGTTGAATAAATGATATGTTCATCGTGTTTTTGCAACTGTTCCTCCTTTTTTTTTTGGCTCATGATATTTATTCTTGTGGAATCTGGCAGCCATCCGAGCATATGATCGATGTCAAATTGGAGTTGGTTTTGATACTCGCTTCGAAAGGGAACCTTTGTTTCCTCTCTGTACTTTTCCCAATTCTTCTGAACCTGATGGTCAGGGTTTGATTCTTTCTTCGCCAGCCAGCAAAAAAAAGCCCAAGAAGACAATGTCTGCGACACTAATTGAGAAGGCGAAAAATCAATCTGTTGCCCTTGTTCCCAGGGAAATTGCTAAATTAGCCCAGAGATTTTGTCTGTTGTTTAATCCAGCCCTTTATCCTCATAAGCCACCTCCTGCTGCTCTTACAAGTCGTGTGCTTTTCACTGATTCTGAGGATGAGTGAGTTGTACTTTTCTCTGTTACTTTACACTCATTGCACCTTGTCAACATTTTTCGGATTGAGCTATTATAGAGAATCCATTTTGACAATGCAAGATTGTGACATTGCAGCATTTTCTCCCTGCATTTTCTTGAAAATTCATTTGAATGAAAATCTGATCACAGATGTGTAATAAATAGCTTATAGACAGAAGGAATTTTTTTAAGGCTGATGGCGGCTACCTTTTTATAGCTTGAGCCTTCCTTATCAATTTTCTCGATGGAAACAATTCAATCTTTGTTGTAGAGAAATTTCTTCTTCTTCATTTTTTTTTTTGAAATATGCCAAAGGGATGCATAAGCCCATTACAAATTAAAGGGATGACTTTGTATTATTAATATGGAAAATTCTATTTGTACATAATTATTACACATAATGGTATCCATAATGTGATGTGAAAATCATCCGATTGTTGATGTGCAAGTGTGAGATTTGAATTAAAGGTTGGATCTAGCACCACGTATAATTATGGAACACCATTATGTAGACAATTATGTACATGTAGCACTTCCCTATTAATATACACACCACTCAAACTTTGTCAGCAAAAAATATTCAAAAAAAATCTCAACTGGTCAGAGCAAGTTATTTTCTTTTCCAACATTCTCGCTCCTTCCATTACCCACATCCCATCTTTATTTATTGAATGTTCAGCCTCTTAAGTTCTCTTTCTTTCTATAATTGAGAGAGCTTCTAATCCTTATTCTCCTTGCTGCTGTCCTCATCCACCCCATAGGACGTGTAATAGTGGCACTTATCCCTTTCCTTGTCTTTGCCACTAGCCCCGTTTATTCTCCCCTGGTATCTACTCAGTCATTCAAATTAATTTTACTGAGTGCTTATTTGGTAAAGCTTTTATTTGCCAAAAAACTGGTGAAACTTCATTTTTAACCACAAATTCATTGGACCCACAATTTTTTAGCTACTTTTCCACCGCTCATTTCATGGGACGTCCTAAATTTTATCAACTTTTAGTAACATCACATAGCCCCCAAGTAACCTATTACTAGGATAACTTTTGCAAGCAGCAAATAGTTATAAATCTTTGATAAGGTTCCAGCTGCAGTTTATGAATAATATAAGAATTAGAAAATAAGTGTTGTATTTGATTGATGAAACTAGTGAAAATTACAAAATTGGAAAAGAAACCATAGCCATTCGAGAGTGCTAAAACTCTCCTAAAGTTCTCTCTTCTACTCACTCAATATTCTTCCCCTCTATTGCTAGCTTTTACCATTATTTATAGCTCTCATCTAACTATCTGAGTCTAGTCATCTCCTCCCTCTTTACTAGATTTTGTAAAGCCCAGAAAGCTGGTTGTCCATCTTTCTTCTGGGTCCTTCTAGAATAGGTGAGGCATATTAGAGGCCTGTCATCGTTCTCAATCTCTATTCTAGCCATGCAATCTTCTACATCACAAGTTTCGCTTGTATAATTTATTCTTATATCGGATCTTTCATTACGTGATGACCATTGTGGTGATTAACAATACCAAATAAAGAATAAGATTGAGAAAAGGAGAAAGAAAGAGGAGAAAAAGAAGAGGAAGAGGAAGAAAGAATTTAGAGGGAGAAAATATCAATTTTTATTCAATATCAAAGTGTATGTATTACAATGAATGAATGAATGAACCTTTAGGGGAAGAGAGGAAATTCACTTGGTTAATTAGGGTATGGTTTGTTCTCCTGTAAGGATGGGGGGTCTTGAATTGAGGAGTTTTTGTTCTATTTAATAAGGCTTTATGACAAGTAGTCGTGGCGATTTGGAGTGGAGAGAGAGAGTTTTTGGAAACAAATCATAGGAGCGAAGTATGATGTGATAGAAAGGGGTTGGTGCTCGGTGAAGGGTCGTGGATCTTATGGGATGAGTTTGTGAAAGTATATTCGACGAGGATGGAATGACTTTCGATAGAAATTGACTTTTGTGGTGGGGGCAATAGTATCAGATTTTGGAATGATTGTTGGTGTGGAGATCATCCGCTAAAGGCATGGTTTCCTTCTTTGCATCGCATTGCTTTGGAGCCTTCGCTATGATGAATGATGTACTAGCCATACATAATGGAAGTTACAACTGGAATATTGCTTTTGAGCACAGGATGGTATTTTTTCAGTTCGCACTTATTTTATATCCATATTAGGACCAGTGGAGAGTTCGTTTCCTTGGAAGATGGTGTGACAATGTAAATATAACTTAACGGGGTAGTATCATGCAGCTAAGGTAATGCCACAATAAAGTCAAATGTTAATGTCACACATAGGAGTATGTAAGAAAAATTTCAACACGAAGTCGATAACATATGTTTGTGTTTAGTGTATGAACTACATAGGTATACACAAATGGGAACACATCCCTCAAAATTCTCTTATCCTATATTGACTGCACTATAATTATCGAAACAAACACCTAAAAATTCTCTAGATTGTAACAACTAATCATTGATCTTGACAGTATACTTCTCAAAAAACTCTGTACCACATTCATTGTAACTTGAAAAACCTCTTTATTTTTCTTTTTTAAACTATCCAAAAGGATTGTAAGCAAGTCTGGAGAGATATTATCACTTTCTTCGTATATAAGGGTCATAATTATCTCCTTGGATGTGAAGATATTCTTTACATGAGTTTACCTTCGGGCTAAAAGAAAATGTTATAACATGTCAATTATCACTTGCTCATGATCTAGATCCAATATGATGATACAATACCTCACATTAGCTATAGTTTTATGTATTCTAGCTCCCTTAGCATACATCTCGGTGGAGTTGTCAGATAGTAACGTAAATGATGATATAATTAATGGAAATATGTTGTGCATGGTCTTGTCACTATATGGGGCATTGAGTGCAGTAATTCAGGATACTTCACTAAGGCAAGAAGCAATTGCTACCTGTATGGCAATGTGTGGATGTTTTAATAGTTCGTCAGAGGCAAATATTGTGATAAGTGGAGGAAGAGATATGAGCATGGAAACAACAGGTTTAATTGATGTTGCTGACTCGTATAACCTATGCTCTACCTTTAATTGCTGTTGCTGACTCATATTTCTGAAACCTACTTGAATATTTGTAGTAACACATATTTGATAACAGTAGTTTTAAAATGATGGATGTGAGCCTAAATGATGATCTGCAATTTAACCATTCATGACAATTTTTATGTTTGATTTTAAAATTTAAACTTCAAACTTCAAACTCTCTGTGTCAC